CGTCTCCAAATGATACAGCCACCCCGTGTTTCTTCGTTGCATTTCATTTCTGCTCGATGAAGATTGGCGCCTAAATCAAGCGCCAGGTGGTCACATTGCGCGAGAGTCGAAACTACGGAATGATCAGCAATTTCTTTCTAAGTCCTGTATGAAATGGAACTTAGAAGGGCTCCCGACGTATTCTTAGCCTCTAGGTTGAGAAAAACGCGACATTATGAGAGCAGCACTGGCTTTCACCAAAACGTGTTCGGAAGTTGAGTCTTCTTCAAAACTTAAGCTCTTACTGGATAAAGCTCCAAGATCTTTATTAAGTGGAAAGTGAAAAAGACGGCGATTTTGAAAAGAAACCGTCGCGAAAAACGGAGTCATTTTTGCAGGGAAGTCTGACCAAGCCAACCGGAGCAGGATCCATTTTCGGCCTGTTCTGTTTTACTTCTTATCTGCTTTACCTTCAAATTTTTCCTCGCTAATAGAAAGCATTCCTCCAGACGGAACCATCTGGAGCGAAACGTTAAAAGAACGGCAGAAAAGAAGTAAAACAGAACAGGCCAAAAATGGATCCTGCTCTGGCTTGGCCAGGCTTCCCTTGCAAAATGACTCGGTTTTCGAGACGGTTTCTTTTCAAAATCACCGTCTTTTTCACATTCCGCTAAAGAACGATCTTGGAAATTATTTATTGCATACCCAGCACTATCCAGTAGGAGATTAAGTTTTGAAGAAACTCAACTTCCAAACCCCTTGGTGAAATTTGGTGCTGTTCTCATAATGTCGCGTTTATCTTAATCAAAAAGCAAAGAATAACGTCCGGAGCCTTCTAAGTTCCATTTCCTACAGGATTCAAAAAGAAATTGCTAATCATTCCGTAGTTTTCGACTAAATTTTGGCGCAATGTGACCACTTGGCGCTTAATTTTTCTTTTTTGTGACGATTTCCCCTTTTGTCGTGTGTCACATGGGTTTCTGGCTGCCAAATTCTCGATGAAAAGGTGACATCACGTGTGCTCAAAGATGTTCTTGAATCGATGCCACGTTAATGCCACGTCAATTTCTGCAATTGCACAATTTCTGGTTATTTGAAGGCGAGGGTATATGACCATGTCAGCTTCAAATTCGGCGTATTGCCACTGGAACAGTGCGAGTTTCTGGAGAGAGAACAAAATGGAGAAACCAGGGACGCGTCGCCAGGACCTTTTTCGATAACTACATTCATAGCCCCAACTTCTTCCTTAATAAAACTTCAGCATTGTTGTAATTATAACGATATATTTCTGCGAGGTTGTTAGGTGGAAACTCATTAGCGGACGACGAGATCGTCCGCGTCGAAGGTCCAAACATGTCTCAAGATTTGAGAAATGCCCTTTAACTGCTAAAGGCCTCCTCTCCCTAGCGTTATCGACGGACGTTCGACGGAACAAGCCAAAATCCCGAACGAAGGATTTACTCACAGTCCATACCGAGACAGGGTGAATATCGGTCGAGGAAATCCTCGACAGGGGGGTCGTACCTGTTGGGCTGGTCCATGGGGGGTCGTACTCTTGGGGGTCAGTAACAGAAGTGGTATCATGGTGCAGATAGGTAATAGGGTATAGCGCAGCAGAAAATGAAAACATCCGAAAAAAAACATGATATTAAATTTTCTTTGCAGGTTCAGTCGCTCCATTCCTCCACCTTCATGAGAGGGCGTATTTGAAGGCAGTACAAAGAATGAAAGTGCATCCCCGCAAAGAAGAGTGCCACATGTGCGCACGCGCTGCAAAGGCACCTCCTCCGCCTATCACTCGCTCCTTCTCCCTTAATACCTCGCTGAGAATGACGCTGTTGTTAGGGACCCTGTCGGAAAAACGACAACCGTGAAGAAAAAGCGCTGGGCAAATGAAGTTGTTTTTTAGGTTACAGGAATAGCACAACACACTATGTCTACTACAATACAGTTTCGTTCGAAGGTCCCCATCATATAACACCTTTCAATCGATTCTGCAACTGTGAGTGGAGGAGGGATGCATGGCTTATACCAATACCAAATCGGATGATGACGATTGCTCCTATTCTTATTGTTTGCGTTCAAAGATATTGTTCTAGACACATTCCGAGTGTTGCCAACGAGTCACACTTGCAATGGTGAATGAGGGAGCGGATTTCCAGGTGGCCGGATCCGACCTCGATAGATCCTCGACGCAATTATCTCTTCAACCAAAAAGCTGTAGAAGAAAACTAAACAGACCATCAGGAAGCGCAAACCTTCCGCTTTCCAAAACTATCTTCCCTTTTTCAGGATCTTACAATATAAGAGATATATTGCTCTTGAAGTGGCAAAAACTCGCGTGAAAATTTCGGCCTCCTCGACATTTACTCGACGAAATTTGAGAGACCCTATCTTTCTGCATGGAAGGCTTCCAGAGCAATTTCAATGCTTGTTGGAAACGCGAAATCCAGCTCTATCTAACTCTACCTCAAGCTGCTTCAAAGGTTGTGAAATGGAGGAATGCAACCTTTTCATCGAGGGTGTAGATTCGGACGTTTTTTTTTGAAATTTCGGCAAATCTGACCCAGTGACAATCGCGCCGCAGCTGCCGTTGAATCGGCCTTTGATACACTCGGCTGTTTTGATATACTCAAGCAAGAATCAAGATTGAATCGCAACCCCGTGTCTTCAGGATTTCTGTGCGTTTCTGAACGAACCTCGCCTTGAGGTCACACAAAGTTAATGCCTCTTTCCTCGAGTCGATATTTCAGTAAATACACAAAAGTATGCAGCGATGGAAGACGTGCATAGATGACAAGATGAAGCGTCCTTAGCATTATTTTGCAGAATTTTTTTGATTTGTTTTGCAGGATTTATTTTAATTGAATTAATTTGCTCTGTTAGAGGGGGTCGTGCCAGGATCTCGATTTCGGGGGGGGGGGTCGTACCTCTGCGACCACGTACTCGACACGATTTTCACCCTGCCCGGAGTAGAACAGCGCCACCCCACGTTAGTTATGCTCAGTAACTGAGACTTTTCCTGCACAGAAAGTCTGAGTTACATACCATAACAAAAGCTGGGCACAAAAGCGTTCGAAAGACCGATTCAAAGAGAAGATATATCGGTCGCAAAACAAAGAAACTGCGTCAAAGAAGGGAGGGTTACCGAGAAGGGCCCCCACTTTGAACATAAGTCGTTAGAAAATAAGCTGCATCCGAGCGGGAACTAATGGCACACTCCTATAGATGGATGGGGGCATAGAAGAAGCTCCTGAGGCTTTCATTCACTTTCTCCCATCTTTCGATAAAATTTGCCTAATAACCTGTTGATGTTGCGAATTTCGTGCTCAAACTCGCATGTACAGTATATGCTCGCGGCCCTTTAATAATGGGACTCGGAGGCGCTTCTGTTGGATTCCTCCACAACGATAGCTTTAGTTATAAATGTGTTTATCCTTTGTCCTGGGTTTGATCAATATTTTCATTTAGGTTTTGCCCTCAGTATGTCGTCTGAAGAGAGCGATGGCGACTATCAGGAGCAACGGGAAGAGGAAGAGGAAGAGGTGTGGTCATGTCGACACTTGTTTGGTATTAATGTTCATGAATCAGTTTCGTGGGATTTAGGCGGTGAATAGTGGATCTGGCTCTGAAAATGGGTCAGGAAGTGAGGACGAAGCACCGAAAAAGAAGAATAGAAAGAGAAAGGTAATTTGTCTGCTTGTCGTGGATATTGTGACAGTATTCGTCGCTTTACTAATTCAGATTAATTCGGAAAGTGAGGAGGAAGGGTCTGGCGATGACAGTGAGAATGAAGAAGATTCGGAAGGCTCACCTAGGAGTTCAAAAAAGCGTTCGAAAAAGAAACGGGTAATACTTCCTTTTTACATGTTTGTTTTCGCAATTGTCTTTTTCCGCAGCTCGATTAATTTAGCGATGCATAGCCCTTGTTGTGTATTGCTACCTTCTTTCCTGTGAGACACATTGCTTTGAAAAAAAGAACTCCGAAGTCCTAGGGGTTATTCGTTTTGTTGGTGTTGCTATTTACTGCTTCGGAAGTTTGTGTTGAATCGGCAATAAGCTAAACTGAGCAGAATTTTCGGTCTATTAGTAGGCCATTTTTCATTTATTCTTTCGCAAACCATATTCTTTGCCAAGCTCGTAAGGAGTTTGAACATAGCAACATTTATCGATGTTCAGAAGGATCGTCGTCCTCGTGGATCCGATTTCATTTTACAAGATGTTGATGTGGACGATGAAGAACAGGATGAGGATGACTGGGACGACGAAGAAGATCCGAGCTCTCGAACCAAACGAAAAGGAGGAAGTTGGTTGATCGCATCGCAAACGGTTATCCTTGTTTTCTACTAACGAAGTTCGATTGCAGGCTGAAAAGTACATGAAGCAGCTTGATGCAGAGAGAAGACGTAACGAAAGAAACAAATTTGCGTGAGTTTGCTTGAAAATCTCTTCATCTAGCTTGACTATTTCGTAGTCACTTTTAGGAATATGAATGAAGATGAGATTGGTCGATATTTCGAGAATAAGTATAAAACGCAACCAATAAGAGACCTTGTTGAGGAAGATTCTGCAATAGGTAAAGTTTGAACGTCTATATGGTCATTTATTGGAAACGAATTGCTCGTTTTCAGACGATATATCTCAACATGGACTTTTGCCATCAACAAAGGATCCAAATCTGTGGATAGTGAAGTGTAGGATGGGCGAAGAAAAGCTGGTTGCTTTGCAACTAATGCGCAAATATTTGGCTTTTGAGAAACAAATGAGGTTTCGTAGCTCATGTATATTGTATGGTTCTTTTGGATTGCACGTATTTCAGCCTTTGCTAATCAAGTCCATCGTCGTTAAAGAAGGTCTGAAAGGTAATCTATATCGAAGCCTTCAAACAATCGCATGTCGCCAGCGCAATTAATGGCGTTTCCGCTTTGAACCAGTTCAACGTGACGGTATGAGAACCGTTTTTTCTTTTTCGTTTGTTATCGTTCAACCAATATTTATTTCCAGTGTCCCCCGATCAAAGAATGGTAGCTACTTCGTGGTTTTGTAAGATGTCCCCGTGGGTTGAAAGTACTATAGCGTTCCGGCTCAGACCATGTACAAAGATGACCTTGCAGGTATCATGTTTCAACTATGTTGCGGTTTTTCGAACGTTCAAGGAGTTTTTTCTATGCTTCAGGTGGATTGGGTGGATGTGGCTCAAAGTAAAGTGAACCTACGTATTGTTCCTAGAATCGATTACACGAGGATGAGAGGAGCTCTGCGAACTGTCTGTTCTATATTCATTTGACATCGGGTCTGAAACTTTGAATTATTAGTTATTCAGGAAGCAGATCGTAACCATAAGGTGACGTCGTCCTATGCCTCGACTTTTCGACCTGGACAGAATCAAGTAACTATTCTTGCTGTGCTTTAAGGTATTTGTCTAATTGTCATGATTCGACGTGATGTGTTTTTTCCAGGGAAATCGGAGGAGAAGTTACGAATGACGGCGACTTTGTTATCTTCGAGGGGAACAGTTACAGGCGTGGTTTCCTTTATAAATCCTTCCCGATGAATGCAATAGTAAGTCATAAAGAATTTCTCATGCAGTGTGCGTCAACTAAGTGATGATTTTCAGATTGCTGAAGGTGTTAAGCCGACCCTAGCTGAACTGGAACGCTTCCAAGACACTAGCGAGGATCTAAAGAAAGAGTGTAGGTTTCGCGCTTACGCAGTTGCTTGTATTGTATTAGGAAACTAGACGAATCATAGAACCCTTTCAAATGCAAAATGCTGAATCGTTCTTGTTTTTTTATCAAGATATTTTTTGAAGCTGTCAAGTCATAATATTAGGAGGGAAATGAGCCACTGTGAGCAGCTTAGAAGTTTGAAGAGCTCGTCGGATATCTGTTTGAGTTAATTACCCTCTAGTAAGCAGTAGCTTAGGTTCCATTATACTTAAAGGCAAAAAGTGATGTGTTTGCTTTTATCAGATCTTAAAGCGTGACGAGCATTACTAATGAAAAGACGTTCGAAATGGTAACAATTCCTATCGTTTCTTGGGAAACTGCTCTGCAACCACTTCCAAATTAATGTGGTTGTCGATCTAAATTATGTCGGGCTTCGAAACTTCTGTAGAAATGCACATTTTCTCATCCTCCGTGAAAATGGAGGTTGGCGGAGAGGAGAGGCCACTTCTTGCTATCTTATTCTAAGAACTAGAAAGCACTCTCGGGCTCTAACAATAAGAATAAGGATAATGGGGAACGAATCATAGTGTACTTTTGATAAGGAGCGATGGTGTTCTACTTCTCGTAAATGCTGCCCATACCCTCTTTAACTTTGCGTTTAGTCATCCACCCTGGAGCTCCTCTACCCTTTGAGTCAGGCAAGGAAGCCCATACTTTGGTTCAGGACTTTCTGAGCAATTGCAGGCCGGCTTGCGGAATTCCTTCAGGAATATTTGCACACTCACCGATACTTATCAGGAATATACATAATTATTTTTAACCCTTATCTTCTACATTTTTATCTACTTCCCCGATATATGGTGCTCTTCAACAGTAATGCCCCTTTTTCGGCCGAAATTCGGTTAAGTAACTTCTAAATCCATCAAAGGGGAACTGTAATGACAGCCGCGACTGTATTATATATAAGCTTTTCTACAGGCATGTTTAGTTCGCTATATCGCATCATATTTCAGCATAACAGTTTTATTTGCTTTTTTCTCCACTCATGAAACTGATTTCTTCACTAGTGCTATTATTTTTTTTGTGGTCTTAAGTTATATTTCTTATTATCGTCATTCATTTTGTTTAGTAGAATCTACCACTGTGAAGGACAACTCGCACTTCTTCGCACCTGGCGATAATGTGGAAGTAACTGAGGGAGAGCTGGTAAACCTCCGTGGTAAAGTTGTTAGCGTTGATGGACCCAAGGTCGTTATGCTACCTGATCACGAAGATTTGAAGGTAATACATGTGTCACCTACGATATTCTTCGAAAATATTCTCGTATTTCTTCTCTTCAGCCCTAATCAATTTTTGAAAGTTTTAGGAGCCGCTTACTTTGAATATATCGGAACTGCGGAAATATTTTCGACCTGGTGATCATGTCAAGATGATTTCTGGTCGCTATGAGGGAGATACTGGTCTCATTGTGCGAGTAGAGCATAATCTCGTAGTTGTGTTGAGCGATCTCAGCATGGATGAGGTATTGCTTGGTATTCTTTTAGCATTGCATCCACATCATTCGATTGTTGTAGATGAAAGCGCGACCTCGAGATGTACAACTCTGTGCGGATATCACCACTGGAGTTGATTCTTTGGGGCAGTTCCAGTTTCATGATCTTGTTCAGCTTGACCAACAAAATGTTGGCGTCATCGTGCGTCTTGAGAAAGAAACAATGGAAGTTCTTAACCAACATGGAAAGGTCTTTTTCAAAAGTATTTCTTTATTTAAGGGACGGTGAAATGTAACATGGTGTTTTTGTTATTCCCTCTCTAGAGAGGCATGAGGTCCATATCGGTTTCCAGGTTCTTCGTGTGAAACCGCAGTCGATTCAAGGGAAGAAAGACACTCGACATTCGCAAGCTCTTGGATAGTCAACAAAATCCAATTCAAAGCAAGGACATGGTCAAAATCATTGATGGTCCTTTTGCGGTATGCTATTTCCTCCATTGCATTTTTAACTATTCATTATTGTTGTGCTTTGTACCATAGCATACCTGACTATTTTCTTCTACGGCTGGGATTGAAGTGAAATGAGAAAACCGCAAGGTTTTTTTAAGTGTGGTGAAGTTTGACCTACTTTAATGAGTCATTAGTTATGACAAATGGCTCGAAAGCTAAATTCCGCGCAGCATTAGACTCCGAATCAAATTGTTGTTGAGAAGACACAATATCATTCATTGGAAACCTAGAAAAAACTTTTCGGTGGGGAATTTGCCTACTATAAGGTCTTTTCCTCCTTTGTCTTGTGTTTTTGCTAGCATTTTTATTTGCTTTGCACAAACCAAGCACCGAAGTAGGTTTTGCGTAGGGTTATGTGACTACTTAAACTCTCCTTCATGTT